GACCTGGGCCGGAGACCTGCCTCTCCTGGGATCTTTCTGATGTAAGCAAGCCAGCTTGAAGCATGGCTTGTCTGATCATACAAAGGGAACAAGAGGTCCCTTGTGCTGACAGCCCACAGCATGGATGGCAGTACCAGGGAAAAGCAGGCGCTGAGATGATGATGTCTTTGCCTGGCACAGGTGGGTGGAACTGAGGAAGGCTTAATAGCCTGGCCTCTGTTGCAGGGCACAACCAAAAAGGCATTGACTCATGCAGTCCAGTGCTTGTCAGAATGTTTTTGAGGCAAAGTGACAGTGCATTGTCCTTTATCAGGGAGGTGTAGCAGAACACAAGGAATATCAGAATGGCCATCCAGTCAAGGCCTCGATGTCCATAGTTCTCAACCTGGGAGAGGCCTGTACCAACGTTTTGGGGAAGTAGCGTAAGCAACACCACAGAGATTTGCTTGTCCACAGCTTTGGTCAAGGAACAGCTTAAGCCCTGTGCTGTTAGACTGCATCCTGACCGCTGTAGTTTACTAACCCACTGAACTTGCGTAGTCCCCTTTTGGAATCACTAATTTGTCTGATCTCCACAAATGTGGAGATTTGTGCTGAGCATTCAAAGCAATCCATACTTCAGTAATGCTTTCTGGGGAAAAATTTACTTCAACACATGCATGCTTTGCATGTATAATGCTTAGCAGATGGCCTCAGAAGGCTCAGGGCTCCCTCTGCTAATATTAAGGTGTTCTAGTACCCAGTACAGAATCAACAGGAGTGATTCAAAAGTATCTGGAAACAAAACATCCATTTTGCCACACATAGCTTCTCATTTTATGGTAATAATCATTAATGTAAGATGTGCTTGGAAGCATGTTGATGAAGATTTCAAGGTTGTATCTGTAAACCACTTAGCTTCAGATAACTTCAGACCTTTGCAGTTCTTTAATCCTGGTTATTTATCACCTTAGATCTTGGGATCTGTTTGTAAAGGTAGCAAGATAGAAAATAGGCAGCTGCATTTGTAGCCTGTAGAGAGAGGAGGGGGTTATTTATTTGTTTAGATCAAGTGCCTTTACCATTCTTGCCTTCTGCCTTTGATACATACATGGTGCACAGCAGGGCAGTGAAACAGCAGTTGTATTTGGCTAGGTGTGGACAGATTATATTTCAGGAGACTTTACAAGTACAAAAAATCGTTTTCTATTTTACAGCTTTGCTTTAATTCTCTGAGCTTCCGTGATGAAATGTATAAACAGTGCAATCTCAGCAGACAGGTATTTCCTGCGAAGCTTACTCCAATTCCCCACGGCGTGATAGCTGTCTGAACTATATGCTGATATGGGTGAGGAACCTCACCTCCTGCACACCTTTTCTGGCTACCACAGCCTATGGGCCAAGCTCATCTGTAGAAGCCATAGAAGCAGGGCTGCATAGTCTCTCTCAGGTGAGTAGCGACTCTGAAGTGTTAGCCCCTTGAAGCTGAGCAGTGCAGCTGAGCTGCTATAGAGGTGTTGTTAGAATGTATAGCAAGTCTAGGACTGCTTTTTCCTGGGTGTAACAATGTCCTTTGGACAGCCTAATTAATCAACAAGGAGGAAACTGATGCTCTGGGCCGATACCAAAATCCTTGCTCAGTTGTGAGAGAATGATTGAGGATTTAGAATGATTTGTGTTCAGTTCACTTGTTTGTTTGTTAATGATGTTGTGCTGCTATTTCACTTTTTATTCTTCTCAATGAATTAAGACACTGGACTAGCTCTCAGGAGGGGCTAAGAGCAGATCAGAGAGTCTCATCAAGGCTGTGTAGAAATGTTTTTTCTACACTAGCAAATAGTGCAGCCCAGGAGGAGCAGAGCTGTAGAGTCAGACAGTTGTCGGTGAGGACCTGATATTCACACTATAGAAGTTTCACAAGGGTTTATTTCAGACCAGCATTAGTCCAGCTTTGTGGTCTGTGAGCCAGCTGCAATGGATCACTTGAGTTAGCTTCATCCAAAAGCAATCTGGTTTGCCTACTGTGCCTACCCATGGACCATGGCACAGTAGGTGGGGACAATCAGAAGTTGCATGTTCCTGATTTGAACTAAAATGCTAAATTAGTCACACAAAATGTGGAATTAGGGCAAGGCAGGCATGGGTGGGTAGTTGTTGCCACACTCTGTGACCAAAGGATCATTTATGGTTCAGTCTACAGGATTCCTTTGAAAAACGAGCACCACAAGTACAATGCAGCAGTTGTGCGTCCTAACCACCTCCCCAGCTCTCCTTTAGTACCTGCTGGTGCACACACACTGCAGAAGGTCACAGTCAGTCTCCAAGCAGCTGACTGTGGGCAAACATGATACTACTTCTATACCTTTAAGAGTACTAGATAGCATGTAGTAAGAATAGAAACCTCATAGCTTGGTATCTGAATATCCCTTTATCATCAGATGCTACTGTGAGCCCGGTGTAACTTGCAGAAGAGTTACGGGGAGAATGATACTGTTTAAACATTTTGATTACATTTTATCATGGAAGTAGAAACTAAAGGTAAATTGAGGCACAACAGCTGTCGCAGGCACTGCCAGAACCTGGCCTCCATAACATACATGGCTTTGACCAAAGGTCAGGTTTGTCTCCCTTTCCTGGTTGTTAAACAAGAATGATGTCGGCTAGCTGGAGGTTGTTAATGAAGGACACAGTATGATCACAGGCTGCTGTGATAGTGTAAACACCCTTCAGGTGATTTCCTTGGCTTTGTACATTGATGTATGGAAGTTAGTTACTCCTGATTCTCCTTAAGAAAGAGTGAGCACATTACAGACACTGTACTGTAACAAAGAGCTTTATGTCAGTGTGTCAGAATGTCCCAACTCTCCCAGCAGTCCATCAAATATTGCATCAATACAGTCAATACTGAAGGTGTCAAAATAGAATGCGAGTGCAAATAAAATGACTACAAAGCTGTAGCATGAAAATCATGAACTCATCTCAGCCTTCAGTACCATGCAGTGACTTGCAAATACAATAAAAAAAGATGGTTAACTTTTTTTCCAAACAGGAATTTCTCTGCAAATTGTGGTGATCCCTTCCTAGAGATCCCACAGCTAAGGCTATGCTAAGTATGTCAAGCCTTTGTTTTTACTTCATATACAGTCAATCACATTACTTCACAAGGACATACAGTGAAAAACATCAAGCTGACTGTCAGAAGGCTTTAAATGCTCCCCTCATTCACCTAGAGTTGAAATAGTGTGTCCCAGACTGGATGCTGTAATTGGAAGCCCTGAGTTTTAATTAAAAGTGAGCTTCTGCTTTCTGTCCCTAGGAGGGTTGCTGGCAGGAGAGTTTACCAAGGGACTAGAAACTACAGCCTGGTGCTACTAAGAAAGCCTTGTGTTCAATCTTAGATAGCCCAGAAGGGAGAGAGAAAAGCCAGAATCCCACAGTCTTCAAGAGCTCTCAAGGGTTTGATCTTGATCTTTATTTTATTCTGCCCCCCCTTCTCTGGAAGAAACTGCACATTTCTACTCTAGGATAGATTTCATGTTCTGGAATTCTTCCCAGAGTTGGCAGAGCTTCAAAGGGTTTTCTCTTGGCTGTTGTACCCACATGCTGCTGAAAAGGTCCCCAGGGAAAAAGAGTTGGAAACGGGCAAAAGAACAACAAATCTACAGGGTCTTCCAGGAGGCTATACCCCACTGGGATGATTCTCCAGAAGCCAGTCATACAGGGAAATCCCTCTCTTCCTTCCCCATCTCCTGTTGGTCAACACAAAGCTTCCTGGCATCTCTGCAGGACCCATGGCTTTCACACCATGCCATTCTCTTTCCTTTGCTGGTGAGAGCTCTCCCTACAGCTGCTGAGTTAGGGCCTCAGCAGTCTTCTCCTGTTCCTTCAAGGTCTCAGCAGAACCATGCTGGCCTACAAGCCACTCAGTTTGCATTAAAGATTCTTTTGTAATAGTATTAACTCACTGGCCAGCAGCATGTGATACTGGAAAGCTCTCTTGTGAGCACTCATGGGAGAAGACTGAGGGCACAAACCTTCAGCTACCAGAGCTCTTCAGTCACCAGCTTGTTTAAATTATCTCAACTACTGCAGCTGTACAAAGAGCCCTGCAGATGAATGCTGATTCCCTTCACCCTTCTCTGTACATTGATACTGTACTTCAGTACTCTTTCAGGCTTAGCCACAAACATTAATTTCAGCCCACTGACTTATTACTGGGATGTGGGGTGGAGCACTTACCTCAGCAACACAGAACACTGAGGACCAAGAACAGCATTTGATACAGCACTGATCCGCCTGTATATTTACACAGCAGGTTGGTACATTTCTATCTGCTCTGCAGGTGCAAGGTTCAGGGGGTTCTGCCTGCACAAAAGCAAAAATACCCAAGAAACCTGAACATGCATAAACTAGTTGCTGTGGAATAATATTGGTCTTTCATCTCAAAAAGCCTGGGTCTGTTTCTACTCTGGTTGGATTGCTAATTGTCAGTAAAAAGCTGATCAAGAGCAGTGCTGAGGTTACCTGAGGAAGGTTATTAGTTGGAAAAGGAAGTTCAGTTCCAAATCAGATACTAGCTTTAACTCACAGGCCTGATCCTGCAAGCCTTACTCATGTAAGTGGCTGTCTTGCTTTCAGCAAGATTGGTCCAGCCAGCAGCTCTCACTAGCTTCGGCCAAAAGCTTTTATAGGTAACTACATCCAGGCTGGGGGGAGAAAGGAGAAGACAGACACCACAAAAATAATTCATTTTCCACAAGAAAGCAGTAATAAAAATGAGATAGTAAGTGAGCCTTGCCCTTAAGGTTACTGAATAGCTACTAAATTGAAGGAAAGGCTAGCATGTTTGGTAATAAATTGTGTCACACACCACAGGCATCAGTAGCAGTTACTATGGACACAGCTTCCAAGAGACAAGATGGGCAGGAAGAGAGCTGGAACAAAGAAGAAACTGTAGAGCTAAAAAAGGGTTAACTGAGATTCTGAAAGATCACTGTCTAAAAACCTTGTTTAGTACAGAGTCAGTAATCCTTGGCATTCCGAAATTCTGGCATGCTCCAAACCCTCCTGGTGGGCTGGGTGCCCCGTTCCACATCCTCAGAGATGGTCTTGATGTCGCTGATGAATGGGGAAATCCTGGACCGGGATTTAAACGTTGTTAAGGAGAGGGTGGTTTTGTTCTTTGTGTTCCATTGCCTGGCAAGTTTCTTGGCCTCTTCTTCCTCTTTGATCTTCTCAGCAGCTTCCTGCAGGGCAGAGCGGAAAAGCCGAGATACTTCCTGCACTTCTGGTTCATATTCAGCAATGAGTTGCCGGAATCTGAAAGCACAGTCAAGGCACAGCTTTGATTAAAAACATCAAATTAAGGACTGCTGCCAAGTCACTGTGCTAGGCTTGGAACTTGCACTCTCCTGCAAAATGTGACTCCCTGGACTGAAGGGAACAACAACAGGGAGGGGCCATGAAGATACACTCAAGGTCTCTAAAATCACAAGCAAGCCAGAGAATGTAAGGAAGGAATGAATCACCATTTCTCATAAGCACAAGAAATAATAAGGAACACCAAACAAAGCTAGAAGGTGGCAAGTTTGAAACCAAAGGAAGTGCTCTTTTCACACAACACCTATTAAATCAGAACTTGGTGCTATCAATAGCTTAAGGAACAAAATTATTAGACAAGCTTGTGGAAAACGTCCCCATCACTGCTGATTAAATGTGATTGTCCAAATGCAAATCCTTGCTCAAGTAGTCCCCGAACTGCTGCTTTCCAGAAGCTGAGGATAAACCAGGGAAAGCCCCCCACTAGAATTCCCGTTTCCAGGTCTTATCCCGCATAGCATCACAGAATCATTAAGGTTGGAAA